TGCCTGGCTGCCGGCCGCCATCTTGGCTGACAGTTAATTTGCATATACTCACTGATTAGCCAATGGGAAGGGTAGCGGTCGTACGCTAATTACCATGTTTCTCTTTTATTAGTGTAGATGATCTACTATTGTTATCTCTCCAGTTCATTTGTCACTGGAAGAAGGCTTAAATTAGGACATGCCCAGTGATTTCTTGCCTATGTTCCTTTCCTTGTGATTGGGAGAGTATGCTGTCTAAAGATTCCTCACACAGACCCTGGATGGAAAGAAAAGGGGAGAGAATGTAGGCAAAACATAAAGGACTAGTTAGGTCATGACATTGGGTTGAATTTCTCCATAGACCAGTAGGTTCTGTTTTATTTAATGGCCATAGATTGAACTGTAGTTAGTCACCTTAAAATTGTGTGCTTTCATTTAAAAAGCTTCTGAGGCTTGCAAGTGTATGCCAGTGAAAATTCATTACCACTGGTAGAGATCTCTTGGATGAGGAGGAAGGTGTTATAGACAGAGTTTCTTATTCTTAGTTTTCTGGACTTCATTTTGTTCATAGCTATGCCATGCATTCTAGTCTTCAGGAAGGTTTATACGAGTGGGACATTTCTTAGAGGTTTCAGTTAATGAGAAATTTAACAATTGAACAATTAAATAAGTATTTTAGAGACCCAGGCTGGAATAGTATGACCAGAACATGATCAGGCTATATTCTCTACTTGGGAGTTTTTAAAATTATCAAGTCCCATTAAGTTAGAATGTCTGGAATGTGGGGCCTGGGCATTGGGGGTTTTAAAAAGTTTCCACGTGCCCGGCCAGTGTGGCTCAGTGATTGAGAGTCGACCCAAGAACCAAGAGGTCCCAGTCAGGGCACATGCCTGGGGTTGTGAGATTGATCCCCAGTAGGATGTGTGTAGGAGGCAGCTCTCTCATCCATGTTTCTCTCTATCCCTCTCCCTTCCTCTCTCTCTAAAAATCAGTAAAAACATAAAAAAATTTCCGTGTGATTTTAATGCTATTTAGAGTAGAGAATGATTGTTCTTTTCTATTTTCACTTTTCTCCCAGTAAATATTTTATGAATTCTATGCACATGACACTTCTTGTTTTTTGTTATTCATAACCCAGCACAGATGAAAACGTAGAAACTCCCACCAAGTGACATGGCCATTTTGCCTGTCAGCATCACTGGTAAACTTTTTTACATAGACTAATCTTCATAGGATTAAATAGGGATTGTGTTTCTGTCTACTTTTCTATTCCTGGAGCTAAATATGAATATAAGATTAGTATCACATTAGTAAAAAGTCACTGGGAAGAGAAAAATTGTATTTTATAAGTGTGATCCCATTTCACAGATGTTATGATTTGTTTGAAGTAACCTGATCTCATTTTCATGTGGTGGCATTTCTCATCAAAACAAAGACCTTAATTAATAAATATCCCAGAATGATGAATAACATTGGTAATTGTTCTTTTCTGCTGTAGGAAATGTGTTAGGTTGTTGTCAACAAATTACAGATAGTTGTAACTTCTATGAATTTAAAGTATTTAAGCTAAGATAGAGAAAAAGGAATTACCTAAAGCAAGAAGAGTAATGTTTTCTTCCACAAACTCACTTTGTTTGGAATCTTTTAAATATGTTATCTTATCTATCCCTACTTTCCAGGTGAGATTCAAGAGATACATGGGTTTTCTCTAGATTTTGCAACTAGTAAGTGGTGAATTGGGATTTGATTACAGATCTGTTTGTCTCCCCTCCTCCCAATATTACATTGCCTTCTTACCCCTAGAAAACCTGGGAATTTAGATAGATAGGTGGTATTTAAAATCATTTTTATGTGTTTCTTTTTATCTATGATATGATTTAGCCTTTTTCTCCCCCTTAGGATAATACCCTTCAAGCTGCATGGCCCTCAGCTGATGACTCCACCACCAGCAGTATTTCACTACTTGATTTCAGCTCTGGTTCTCCCTCAGCCACTGGCAGGGAACTCTGGTTGGCAAGACCTTTGGGTGATTTAGTGTCTACACCCAAACTAGACTTTCCCTCGAAGGTGGGCCTCCATTCTTCCCCAGAGGTTTTAGAGGTTAGCAGCTTGACTCTTCATTCTGTCACCCCAGCAGTGCTGCTGACTGGCTTGCCTGTGGCTTCTGAGGAAAGGACTTCTGGATCTTACTTATTAGAAGAGGGTAAGAAATTCTACTTCCTGTTCATATTTCTTTACTTTATTGTATAGATGACAAGGGTTTTGAGGAGAGGAAGAGACTGGGGTTAATAGAAAAGTAGGTTAGGAGGAAGTGTCTTGGGAAAATTGTGTGAGAAAGGGAACAATTAGACTTAATTGTTTGGACTGGAAATGAACTTGGTAGGCTGGGGTAGGGATCAATTAATAGATATTTTGAAAGTCCCATTAAAATATATAATTAAATTACTATTAGATAACTACTTTACTTATTTAAATATTGGAGTGGTAAACAAAGAGCATCAAAGAAGATTATCCCAGTAGCTTTTAATAGGATTAATTGTAGGGGCCAGGTATAGAGATTTTTAGCTTGCATTAGGCTTTATTTGGGAGGGAAAACCTGAACTAAGGAAGTTATAGCAGAGATTAAGGAATGAAAATCAAGTAGATTATTTAGATGTTATGAAGGAAAGGAGAAATCAATGTGACTCACGCATGGAGTATACTTGAGAAAGAGGAAGATAACAAAGTTGTAAACAATGAGTCCAGGATTATGAACATTAAGTGAACCTGAAAGATGATGGACAATAAACATAACAAGGAAATAGAAATTTAAAGATAAACACAATTTCCTGGGGAATTCTCTCCCTAAGTTTTCACTAGACTCAGTGTTTATTGTTAACATGGTTATCAGTAGTTTTTTATTTTCATGGAGTAAAAAAAAAATCAAGTGTTTAAAGATGAATTATTTCAATAGCCTATATCTTGTTGTTCTCAAGGAAGGTATATTCATGAGTGATTGTACCACACCACAAAAACATAATCATATTGTCTTGTTGTTTGCTGGATCTAGCAAAGTACTAGTAAAAGTCAGTAACTGTCCTTACTAATCTAATGGAAAGAAACAGGAAGCTGGTTTTATTAGGAGTACTGGGAATATATTTTAGTAACACTGTAGATTAATTAATGGAAAACTTTATTTTTAGGATTAACCAAAGTCGAAGGGTCAGAAGATTCTTTTTCAGGTGATCCCTTGCCCTCAACTCATCCCTTAACTCATCCTGTACCAGAAGAAACAATACCATCTAAGGAAGATTCTGTGGTGTCTTTGACATCCTCACAATTTCTGGTCTCCTCTGTCACATTAGATCCCCTTGCTCAGGAAGTATCTACACCTTCTGGCTTGGACCCTTCAGCCTCCAAAGTTAAAGACCAATTAGAAGTGAGCACTTTGATGCCAGACACATCCATGGAAAAAGAGTTCACATTTGAGAGTGGCTTAGATTCAGGGTCTGGGGAAAAGGTGAGTGGGATTACTTGGCCATGGAGCGATACTTCATTAGAGAAGAGTATTGAACCACTGACCAAATCATGGCTGGAAGATGAGGATTCACTTTTGCCAATTGAGAGTGTAGATGAGAAACTAGTTGTAGGTGACAAAATAGTTTCCACAGACCGAAGTATTGAGCACTCAAAATATGGGCATTTTGATAGATCCACACACTTTTCAGAGGAAGAGCCCCTTGAGGGACCTACTGTGCCCTTCTCTGCAGAGACCACAACTCAATCTGCACCTCTAATTCTCTCAGAGGTACCTGACATTGATTATTACTCAGTTACCCATGCACCTCCTCTACTGACATCTACAGCAATCTCCGATTCTACTGATAAACCAGATCAAGTAGAACCATTTCTAAAGGAGGATATGGAACAAACTACAGAGCCATCCAATCGTAAACAGTTTGATAGCAAGATTTCAACACTGAAGCCAGATATGCAATCTTTGTGGACCATATTGCCAGAATCAGATGTAGTCTGGGAAAAAACTTCTTCCCTAGGAAAATTGTCTGGAGACACATTGGCAAGTGCACCGGAGAGTATTGACAAGCTCTGGTTGAAAGCTTCCATGACACAGTCTACCGAATTGCCTCCAACCACAAGCCCCACCCTGCTGGAGGATGAAGTAATTATGGGTGTACAGGATATTTCATTAGAACTGGACCGGATAGGCACAGATTACTATCAGCCTGAGCTAATCCCAGAAGAAAATGGCAGGGTTGGTAGTTATGTGGAAATCTCTACAAATGTTCACTCTACAGAGATGGCTATTGTGGCTCACCCCACAAAAAGAGGTGACTCAAATCATACCCAGACCACAGGAGCATTGCTGGTTTTCTTCAGCCTTCGAGTGACTAACATGATGTTTTCAGAAGATCTGTTTAATAAAAACTCTTTGGAGTATAAAGCCCTGGAGCAAAGATTCTTAGAATTGGTAAGCATAAAAAGTGAACTATGGGCATTAGTGAGTAGTCATGTATGAACCCACCCCTTTCTCCTCAGCACATAAGATCTGAGCCAAGGAGAGTGTGGTCTGCTGTAGACACTCATTTTTTTTTTTAATCAACTACAAATAATGTCATGGCCTAGAGTTGTTAGGAAAGTAATAAGACAGGTGGATATGACTGTGGCATGAGGGTGATGTAATAGCTTAGATACTGAATATTGTATTCATGAATTCTGGGACTGAAACAAGTTTAAGATTTTTTTTCACAGTTTATTGTGAGACCAATGTTTTGTGGGTACCTATGACACCTTCACTGTTGGGATACTTTAGTAACAGAGAAAATAAACTCTCTGGTATCTAAAACTGTCTGTGAGTTCCATGCGGTTCCAAAATAGTACTATTAAAATCTCATGACTCTCAAATAATTCACAATTGACATTCTTTTTCCTTAAAGTGTTTTTCATTTACAGTTTATATTCATATTATTTTATATTAGTTTCAAGTGTACAGCATAGTGGCTAGATAATTATATACTTTACAAAGTGTTGCCCCTAATATTTTCAGTATGCAACTGGAACCGTACATATTTATTACAATATTATTGACTATACTAGAGGCCCGGTGCACAAAATTCCTGCACAGGTAAGGTCCCTAGGCCTGGTCAGTGATCAGGGCCAATTGGGGCCTTCAGGCTGCTGGCTGAGGCCTTCCTTCTGGCTGCCAGCCGGGGCCTCCCTTCATTCCGAGCTGCCCCCTGGTTGTCAGCGCATGTCATAGTGAGTGATCGAACTCCCGGTCTCCCAGTCAAACTCCCGAGGGGACATTTTGCATATTAGCCTTTTATATATATAGATAGGGGCCCAGTGCATGAATTCATGCATGGGCGGGGTCCCTAGGCCTGGCTGGTGATCAGGGCCCATTGGGGCCATCTCACCAAGTCCCGATCAAGGCCGGCCGGCCTGGGGGAGGGACTGCGGGAGGTTGGCCAGCCATGGGAGGTTGGCTGTGGGAGCACACTGACCACCAGGGGGAAGCTCCTGCATTGAGCGTCTACCCCCTGGTGGTCAGTGCATGTCATAGCTACCAGCCAGTCGTCTGGTCATCTGGTTGTAACAGTCACTTAGGCTTTTTGTATATAGATTTCCTATGCTGTACTTTACATCTCCATGACTATTACCATTTGCAACAGCATGGGTGGACCTTGAGGGAATTATGCTAAGTGAAATAAGTCAGAGAAAGACAAATAGTATATGATTTCACTTATATGTGGAATCTAAAGAACAAAATCAATGAGCAGACAGAATAGAAACACACTCATAGATACAGAGAGCATACTGATGGTTGTGTGTAGGGGAGAACTAGGTGAAAAAGGGATTGAGAAGTATAGATTGGTAGTTACAATTGATACTTTTGTTGATGAACAGTTTAAATAAATAGCATGCAATTTGGAAAGGGGGAGGGGTTCATCCTTGTTTCAGTTTTTTTTTGTATGTGTTGAGAAAAATGCAAAACCTTGTCAATAAACTGATCATTTTTCATGTATTGCAGCTGGTTCCCTATCTCCAGTCAAATCTCACAGGGTTCCAGAATTTAGAAATCTTGAACTTCAGAAATGGCAGTATTGTGGTGAACAGCAGAATGAAGTTCTCCAAGTCTGTCCCACCTAATGTCAACAATGCTGTATACATGATTCTGGAAGACTTTTGCACCACTGCCTACCAAACCATGAACTTGGCTATTGATAAATACTCCCTTGACGTGGAATCAGGTGATGATATTGATTACTCTGCTGATTTCTTAGTGGAATCCAGTAATTATTCTTTTTTTTAAAAAAAATATTTTATTGATTTTTTTACAGAGAGGAAGGGAGAGGGATAGAGAGTTAGAAACATCGATGAGAGAGAAACATCGATCAGCTGCCTCCTGCACACGCCCTACTGGGGATGTGCCCGCAACCAAGGCACATGCCCTTGACTGGAATCGAACCTGGGACCCTTGAGTCCGCAGACCGATGCTCTATCCACTGAGCCAAACCAGTTAGGGCCAGTAATTATTCTTATGTATTTTCTTCTACACCGAGTCAAGGTGAATTCAACACTTGTAGGTAAAAGAGTATCATGTCAGGCAAATTTTCCCCATCTTGATAATTAGTACATCATCTCTTCCAAGGACATCAGTATCGTTCTCTTTTCAAAAGGGTGGTCCACATATGTTATCTTTACTTATTTACCTCCCGTTTCCTTTTCTACTCTATCTGGCTCTCTCTTTTACCTTTCCACTGGGTCTGTTTTTGCTACATCTCTATTTGCCAAGCCAGGTAGTTTTGGACTCCCTTTCTTCTATATAATTTTCCCAAGTTGTTTTATCCATTTCCATTATTATAAGTCTAATAGAGATAAAATTTCTCTCCACATTTTTATATACAGATTAGACTTGTCTTCTGAGCTCCAGAATCAGTATCTAACTATGTACTTGTTGATCTCAAGTTGGATGTATTCAACATATATCAAATTTAAGATGTGTAAGAGTGAGATCTTGTTTTCTGTATCTCTCCACATTTCAGCTATATCCATTCCACTCAGCTTCACCATCCTGATAAATGGAAGCTGTGTCCATTCAGCTACTTAAGCCAGAAACCTGGGAAGTCGTTCTGATACCTCAGTTTCTATTACCACCATTGCCACTACTCTAGGCCAAACCATTTGAACTAGTTTCCCCACTACCTCTCTTGTTTCCTTCCTTTCTCCATTCTTCAGATAGCAGCCAGGGTGCTCTTTCTAAAAACATCAATCAGATTACTTTACTTCAAAGACTGCCTGGTTCAGTAGCTACAAGGCCTGGACCCTAACTTCTTCCCCGATATGATCCAATGAAACTTACTTCTTTGCTTACCAAGTCAAACTAGCTGGTTTTTAGTTCCTCAGATTAAAAAAAAACTTTTATTGCCTTAAAGCCTTTGTACATACTGTCTCCTTTGCTTGAACTCTTTCCCCTCTTGGCTGACTTCTGCTCACCCTTTATGCTTCAATTCAAATGTCTCTTCCTCAAGACTTTCACTGACTCACCCATAATCTAGATTGGGTCTCTCCTGTTAGTTTTTCTTGTAACATCATGTTCTTTTCCTGCTATAGAGCTTATAACTATTGTAATAATGCTAATTTATGCACATAGTTGCTTAATGGGCATTATCCTCAGTTGAGCTATCCACAAGGAATGATATTTTATCTGTTTTATTAACCATAGTGTCTTGCATATAAAAGGTACTAAAAATACTGCGAATGAATGAAATGAACCATTGTTTTTATTTGGATTTGGATGCAATGAATACTGTTGAATCCTCAGACTTTGTTCTTTTTCATCTTCCACCCACCAGAGGACAGTGGTTTTAGGTAGGAGTCAGGGGGAATACCTGAGTTCGTATTTCTCCAGTGACTTGTACTCTCAAACTGGTTTGAAAGTGAACTCTATTTTTTAACTGAGAAAGTCACATTCTTTCCTTTGAAATCCTTATTCATTGAAAGTGAGGAAAATGATTTGGCTAATCCTCCAATATTTAAATCTCTTGCTATTTGAGTTCTCTAAGGCCAGTTGCGCATTCTTTGCCATGTGGTGTAGTGGAAAAAGCAAGTAATTATAATTTGGAAGGCCTGATTTCTTTATTTGTTCTTTTGTTTTTAAATCCTCACCTGAGAATATTTTTTCCATTAATCTTTAGAGAGAGAGTGGAAGAGAGAGAGAGAGAGAGAGAGAGAGAAAGAAATAGAGGGAGAAAAAACATCGATGTGAGAGAGACACATCAACTGGCTGCCTCCTCGACTGGGGCTGTAATTGACCTGTAACTGATGTACATGCCCTTGACCAGGAATTGAACCTGCGACCCTTTGGTGCGTGGCCCAATGTTCTAACCACTGAGAAAACCGGCCAGGGCTGGAAGGCCTGATTTTTTTCCTCTGCTCTGCCATTTATCATTTGTGTGACCCTAGATGATCTATATTATCTCTTAGCTTTAGTCCCTCATATTTTAAATGGGGATAATGTTTGGGGTGATTACTTAATAAGTTATATAAATGTCTAATCACTATGTTATACACAGGAAACGAATATAATATTGTATGTCAGCTCTAATTGAAAACTTAAAAAAAATTTAAAATGGGGATAATATTAGCTGGCCTATGTATTTTATGGGGTTAGTCTAAGTATTAAAAAAATAACATATATTTGCATTTGACTAGCCATACAAATGCACGCAAGCAGATATAATTTATAAAACTTTTTGCAAAAGTCAACCCACTTTTTTAAAAAAGGGAAGTACAATAAATAAGTGCATTTATATCAATATTTTATGTAACTCACATGTGAGCTGCATGCTGAGTCATTCAGGTTTATAAGGTCACCTTTTTCTTTAATATTCAAATGAACTGGCATTAGCCCCTCCCATGTGCAGTGTAAAACCTGCATCCGTGTCCCTCCCACCCCCAATATCTCTAGGAATGAGCAGGGATGAAATATCTCTTAATCACCTCCAGCTCTGAGTTCCTTTTGCTGAATTCCCAATCCTTGTGGTTGTTCTTTATGAAAACCCAATACAGATCATAGTTCCATTTTTTACTTTTCCAAGGCACCTCTATAAGGTAGTTGATTCTATCAGATATTTCCTTTGCTATGAGGGTGACAGAGAAGGCTTTATCATACCACCACAGGTGGTTTAAAATATTGTTGGGCCTAAGTATCCTAAACTTCCTCAGCAACCCTTTCAAAGTCATTTCTTATTGGCCAACTTTTTGGACCAAGCCAGCTACCATGCTATTCTGGCTGTCTTTCTACACCGTTTCCATATTTTCTTCATTCTTATTTTTCTGGACCCATCAATTCCTCTCTTAGCCTGTCCCTGGTAAACTAGACATAATTCATTTTATAATTTAGATCCTTGTCTCTTATCCCAAATTAAGCTCCAGGTCTATCTTTGTTTCCCCCTGAAGTCATTAAGGTGCTCTTAAACAGAGGGCCATGTATTCTGGGCATCCACCTTTAACCTACACAGAGGACTGGAAAAAGACTGTAAAGCTACAGTCTTTTATTTACATGATTAAAATATTAGTCTTAGTCCCTCTTCTTGGTCTAGGGCAAAAGGAAGCAACATTTATTTTTTCCCTCTTCCTATTTTCCTTCCACCAGACATTCAAATATACCCATGGAATGATCACAGTATTTTAGAATTTTAAAATAGAATTTCCCTACTACCTGTATATTTTTAGTTAAAGGTCTTCAGATTAAAATATTATTTAATCTCAAGATTGGCTAGAGATAAGATTGACGTGTCTCTTGTCTAACTTCTTTGCACAAAAACTCTTGAACTTCCATCAACATAGGAAGCCATGCAATATTATCCTTCCCCTTCTCTAAACACACTGCTAGGCCAGGATTATATTGTTTTCTGGGTACAAAGTCACAATATGTATACTAGACTAAGACTGTGAGGACAGGAAATACACAATGGAACCCTGCTGCATGGGCCCCTTGTAGAAACTGCCCATCTAACAGCACTTTTGTATGCTTTCCTTGTTATATGAGCATCTCATCAGTGTTCCCCTGTATGAGTTTCCTAGGGCTGCTGTAACAAAAGAACACAAACAGGATGGCTTACCAAAACAGAGATTTATTCTCTCATAGTTCTGAAAGATAGAAATCTAAAACTAAGGTGTTTCTGGGCCATGATCCCTCTGAAGGGTTTAGGAAAGATTCTTAGGATGAATCTGAATTTTTTTGTGGTTTTGGTGGTGATGGTGTAGTTTAATGCTTCAGGAAAGGGGTTGTCCCATGGTACTTTGGACAATAAGACTTAGTGGAGGAGCTTCATGTACTCCAACTCCTGTGTTTTGCCTTTTCTAGTATTTTTTTTTCTGGTTTGTTTGATGTTTTAGGTGATGAAGCCAACCCTTGCAAGTTTCAGGCATGCAATGAATTTTCCGAGTGTTTGGTCAATCCCTGGAGTGGAGAAGCAGAGTGCAGATGCTACCCTGGGTACCTGAGTGTGGAAGAACTGCCTTGTCAGAGTCTCTGTGACCTTCAGCCTGACTTCTGCTTCAATGATGGGAAGTGTGACATTATGCCCGGACATGGGGCCATTTGTAGGTATGGCGTAGCTAGGAATTTTAACTTCACGAGGTTGTAGATACTTCCTCTGAAGAAAAAGGATCTACACCTATGATTTTAGGATAATCTCAGCAATATTTGTTATAGAAGTTATATCTAAACAATAGATTGGTACTATTTAGTGTTCATGTGAAGACTGAGTGAGTTAAAAGGCCTGAATTATAGTTCAAATGGTTATTCTATTTAGTGTCCCACTGAGAGTCCTGGGAGTATTTGGGGGTCTGTGTTGTGGTTCTTAGAGGGGATGGTAAGGCAATTGCCACTTAAATTAGGTTTCAGCATAAGAGCAACATTTAATAATGTACCTGAAAGTGAAAACAAAGGAGTTTTATTCTATTTGGATTCTGTTTTGAATGGCTCTGGGCTGCTCTTGGTCCTACCAAGTATTCAGAGAAAAATAAAAATAAATATTTAAAGTCTTTGAAGTCATGACAAATATATTTTATTTAAGTACCTGAGATCCATTTTTTAAAGGTAGAACCATGAAAATGCAGCAGATGAGCAGATACAGGTACCCTGACTGTCCTTTCCTGCCCATTCCCCTAAAACAAAGTAGAGCAAATCAACCTCCCACCACACACCACAGGCACATGGTGTAAAAAGAGAGAGTGCTGAGAATAAATGATAGGACAATTTGTGGATGTGAAAATGGTCAAATGTTGGCATAATGCCACAAACAGAGGAAATAGGTAGAAATGATTCAGATTCTTCTATGTGGAAAAGTGTAATGTTTAGCTAGGAAACTAGGGGGAAAGGTAGTCCCTTGATATCCAGAGAAATTAGTATTATGGAAAAGCAGTGATTTCCTTGCTGCTGTGGGATTTGAAGACATTTTTGCACAGGCCTGTGGCTTTGGGGTTTGGAGGGACTTAAATCGTACGATCATTGAACCTGCATATTTACCTTTTTACTGAAGCTTCCTGTGGCCAGTATTTATTTCTTTACCTTTCCCAGGTCCCACTGAAGCTTCTGCTGTTCATTATTACTTTCAGCAAAGTGATTCCACTTTGACACTCGGTCACTTCTCATTACAGGTGCCGGGTGGGTGAGAACTGGTGGTACCGAGGGGAGCACTGTGAGGAGTTTGTGTCTGAGCCCTTGGTGATAGGCATCACCATCGCCGCCGTGGTTGGACTTCTCCTCGTCTCTTCTGCTGTTGTCATCTTCCTCATCAAGACTCTTCAAGCTCAGAATGCTCAGAGAGAAAGAGAGAGGCCCTTTAGGTAAATAAAGAAAACTGCTCTTGGGTGAAGAAAATGTTCCGCTTATTCATTCATTTAGTACTGACTATGTGCCAAATATCAAATAAGGATCTGGGGTGCAAGGGAGAAAGCTCTAAGTTGAATGAAAACATGGGCTCTGTCCTCCAAGGGTGTCAAATTGGAAATAAACAGAAGCTGCAGAATGAGTAAGATGCGAAGGGATCTGGATGAGGCATGAGTTAGTTTTGCCTGGGGGAGAGAGTCTTAGAAGTTGAAAGATGGTTGTGATATTGAGCTGGACGGAAGAGTAGCTAACTATGGTGGGTGGGTGGGCACTTTCTAGCTAGTTGAATGAGCATGAGCAAAGTTAGGAAGGCATGAGTGAATCTCAAGGAACACTGAAGGAATGGCCACATTGAGCATGGCCAAATGCCTGTTTTGTGGTTGGGGAGAGGTTGGAAGGGTGATGGAGATAAGGTGAGATCCTTGTATGAAGACCAGATCAGTTAGTTTGTTACCTTTGGCTCATTATGGTTCTGAATCTAGATTAGAATCTAAAAAGAAATGACATCTGATTTTCTTTTAGTAAAATGTAGCTTCATTAATGTAGAAAATATAATCTGTTTTACTTGTTAGACTAGCAATCCAAGGACCCTTTGGGTTGTTATCCTATATCAGTGATGGCGAACCTTTTGAGCTCAGCGTGTCAGCATTTTGAAAAACCCTAACTTAACTCTGGTGTCGTGTCACATATAGAAATTTTTTGATAGTTGCAACCATAGTAAAACAAAGATTTATATTTTTGATATTTATTTTATATATTTAAATGCCATTTAACAAAGAAAAATCAACCAAAAAAATGAGTTTGCGTGTCACCTCGTGGCGGGGGCCAAGGCAGAGGCAGTTAGGGGTGATCAGGCAGGCAGGCAGAGTGGTTAGGAATGATTAGGCAGGCAGGCGAGTGGTTAGGAGTGATCAGGCAGGCAGGCAACGTGGTTAGGGGCGATCAGGCAGGTAGGTGAGCAGTTAGGGGCAATCAGGCAGGCAGACAGTTAGTAGTGGTTAGGAGCCAGCGGTCCTGGATTGTGAGAGGGATGTCTGACTGCCGGTTTAGGCCCGATCCCTGCTCGGGCCTAAATCAGCAGTCGGACATCCCCCAAGGGGTCTTGGATTGTGAGAGGGTGCAGGCCGGGCTGAGGGACCCACTCCCCTGTGCAGGAATTTTGTGCACTGGGCCTCTAGTGTGATAATAATCAGTGGTTGTACTTTGCTTTTGTGTTTCCATTGTCTATAAGAGTTACTGGTTTAGGTCTAGGTTACCTTCCCTCACCCTCAGCTTGCTAAGGAGGCACCTCTCCTAGGTTCTTAGAGCACCCAGGACATACTTCCATCGTTGTTTTTATGCTTTTTATTGAGTCTGACTTTTCATTAGACTGTAATCTCATTCCAATCAATTCTTTATCATTACTCTCTAGAACTGTCTTAGGCACATAATCAATGCTCAGTAAATATTTGTAGACCTGAATTGAACCTGAGGCCCAATACTCCCATATTTATATTTTTATCAGATTTTCTGTGTGCTACACATTGATTTTTTATTTGTCTACTCTGGGAATGATGGCGCCGTATGCATTCCATGAAATACTATCTATTGGCAGGCTTGGTTCCCCATCAGCATTTATTGAGTGCCAGGCCCTGTGGGGCAAATAAAGATGAATGAGACATGGAACAATTCCCCATGGCACTTGCCATATAGTTGAGGAGATAATAATGACAACACCTGATAAATAATTTCTGAGATTGATCTGGGTATTTTTCACAGTCACCTCCCGCTATTTGTATCAGTTCACCTCCTTTTCTTCCCCAAGAGAAATCTTACTACAGGTAAATAGCCTTCCAAGTAGTTATACATCTGAATCTGAATGAATCCTACTTTTCTTTTCGTGGCTCCAGCAGACAGCCTGCCAGCCTTTCGTCCATTGAAGATGCCGTAAAGTATAACCCCATGTATGAAAGGCATGGGGCAGGAATGGAACAGTACAGGGGACCCTATCCTCAGGGTCCCTTCCACAGCGCAGCACGAGGAGAGGTGATTGGTGGTCTGAGCAGGGAAGAAATCAGACAAATATATGAGAACAGTGGGCTTTCCAGAGAGGTAGGAAACTGCTTTTCTGTTCTTGCTCTGCTGCTTCTGATGTGTGTGTGTGTGTGTGTGTGTGTGTGTGTGTGTGTGTGTGTACATGAGCTTCAAGAAAAGATGAGAAGTATTTCCTGATTAGTTTCTACTTCATGATATCCCCCAGTTGATGCAGTGTGCAGAGGGTATACGAATCGGAGCTATACCTTCTTCTCCACCCAGTGGTTTCTTTCTCCATTGTTAGCAATTGCTCTCTCCCTCCTCCCCACTTCCTTAGAAATATGCCGGAGTTATTCTGAGCAGTTCGTATACTATCCAAACCTTCCATTCTCTGAAAAGGCCATTCTTTCCTATAGTTCTTCCCTGGATAGCCCAGACAGCCACATTTCCTTATAAAAATTAGGACTCCTTTTAAAAGATGATTTAAGCTTTTCTAATGCGATGTATGGCCTATTTTTCTTTTCAAAAAGGAAATTCAAGAAAGAATGAGAATTTTGGAACTGTATGCCAATGATCCTGAGTTTGCAGCTTTTGTGAGAGAACATCAAATGTAAGCATTCGCAACAGCGCCCCTGCTCAGGCTCTTAACCGTTAGCCTTAGAGTAGCGCCTCCAGCGGGAACACATAGTTCCTGTTCATGTGATAACCAATGTTTGTTGAGTTCTTTAGAGTTAATACATTTCCATACAGATGACCTCATTTATTTCTCACAATGGCTTTGTAGGTTGAATGTTTCTTTATTTAAGTTTTATAAATGAGGAAAAGAAGCCTTGGAGAGCTGAAGGGACTTACTCAAGATCATAGTGACAGCAAATGGCAGAGAAAATCTAAAACAGACACTATGTGTTCTGGTCTAGAGCTTCCTGGGCTGTCATATTTTCTCTTATTACCATAGATATCACCCAGGAGTGAATGCTCTAAAATACTTTTCATAGACAGTTTCTCTGAAAAGCATTTGAGAAGCCATAAATCCTTACACTTAAGTATCTCTGTAGATACTTTTCACTATGCTTTCAATTACACAAATCTCATTAAAGTGTATCTCTTGCCTCTACCAAGTTTATCTTACATTTCATTCTATCTTTCCATTTGCTTTTCCCAGCATGTGTTTTGGGCAAGTATCTGTAGTTTTTTTCCTTCTGTTCCCCAGGATCCATAACCAGACTTAGGTTACTAAAATAAATCATCTTATAAAGAGACCATTATGGACATTAACTGAGTGTAGTGGGTGAAATTATAATTTGGCTTTTATTTTTGCTCCTAATGCTGCCCTCACAAAGATGCTTCCTCATGGATGGGTTTCCCCAGGCCAGGTGTCTTCACGTGGCTTTGAAAAGAGAAAAACTAGAGCAATTCATCCAAGTTTGTAGAAGAAATCCACAAAGGGTCAGGATGACACCCATGTCCTGACTGGGGCCCCTGTCTCCTTGCTCCAAATCCCTTTTCTCTGATAGGCAGCCCCTCACTCATGATTCCTCTCTGATAGGAAGGGACACATTGACACTTAAGGAAATTGAGGAAGATACTTTTCTAATTGCATGTGCATGATGGAGAATGCCTTTAAAAATCTCTGAGCACCTGCCTTGACCCCTAGAAGGTGCCACCAATCTTGCTGAACCCTGTTAGAACAATATTACCAGGATCTGCCTTTTAAGCTAAGATACCCACTCATCCTGGCATCTCCAGCCAGCAGATGACCCATGGCTCCATTCCAGTGGAATCTAACAGAAAGAACATGACTAACGTTTTTGTCTTCCCTAAGACTTCTCATAAGCCCCCTACAGCCACCTGCCTGAATGTGTTTCCTGAATTAAAAATGCGTCTTATCTAGGCTAAGACACCAGAAGAAAGGATTCAGGAGAGCCTAATTAAGGGGAGACAGATTGACTACATTGTTTAAATTTCTGCTGGTAAACTGTCTGGCATTAACATATAAAAATCCATGTAACAGAAGATTTAAAAAAGGTCATAGTGAAACAAAAGGAAGTTCACACAGACACTTTTATCTTAAGAGGGATGTTCATTGAGAAGATGACATTGAAAAAAAAATATGAGGTACATAACCCATACAACATTTTCAGTTTCACTTAATCTCAGCATTTTTACCTACCAGTAGTCCAAGAAAATGTTAATGGACTTGATTTAGGATTTAGTAAAAGCATTACATGGTCTTTGTGGAGATTTAAAAACAAAACAAAACAGCAAAGTACAGGATAATTTTCCTGCAAAGAAAGAAAATACAAAGTATTGGTGATTTTAGGAACAGAGCTTGGCAATGTGTTACAGCAAAAGTGCATTTCTATGCACATTCTTGCTTTTTCAATTAATTGTGTGTTGTTGTTTTTTTCATGGCAGGGAAGAGCTTTAATCAAAACTCCGATCTTGGAACTGATTAGAAGCCTGGAGAAGAGAGAGATCGCTTGTTACTTGTATCATAAAATTAACCTGCATTTCGAACTCTGTTGGAAGAAGAGTATTTTATTAAAAAACATTCAATTTGGGCACAAAATTTTTTCCAGTTTAAAATTTTAGAATAGAGTAAGAGATGTGACAATTTTTATACGTAAGCTGCATTTAGAGAAAGTCCAAACTGTGTGGGTCTGGAGAGCATCTGGAAGAGAGCAGCGGGGCCGGGGGGTGCGTTGGCAGAGCAGTGCTGCCTATCACTGTGGCTCAGGAGACTGGGAGGACGGGAGGGTGAGACTATTCCAGGAGGAGGCAGGCTGTGTAACAAATATTGGGTAGCACGCTTGTTATTGTCAGATGGAAGGAGAAGCCTTGGAAGTAGTTTCAATATAGTTTATAGTCAGACATTTGTCTAAATAAAATATAAAGTGTTGAGAGGGGGAATCGAACTGCTGAAGAAAAGCAACCTTTTTGCTGCAGTATAGAGTGAGGCTTGTACTTTATTCTGCCAGAGTTTTGAATTTCCTGAGCATATTAATCAAGATCACATTATTGTTGTGTTAAGTATCTCAGTATCCTTTTTTTTCCAGCTGCCAAATACAATAAATATGTGTAAAGTTTAGAGGGTTCCTTTAGACTAAAGATGAATTGTGGACAGGGAGGGAATGAGGGTTGGGTCAAGGCCACAGCGCTGAGAATATATGCTTTGCTGATTGATGGGTGGACATGGGTTCTCTGACCTACTTAGGATATCTTAAGATGTCCCAGCCAAATCCTGGATCTTCTCCAGTTTCTGGTATTTTATTCCAGTTTGGTCCTGGGAGTGTGTCTGTGAGCTTCCACTCACTCCACTGCCATCTTTAATCTCCCATCAGTTTCTGGTATTTTAATTTGGGAGACAGCACTTAACTATTTCACAGGACAGGTTAGCTCATTTGGATTACTTATTTTTGTGTGTAACAACTCATGTCTAAATGAATTCCTGCCTCCACAAAACATGACAGGACTTGTTGCAATTAAATATCTTTTTTTTTACTTTATAGGTAGGAAAAGTCCACATATTATATAAATTTTACCTGAATTAGTAATTGCCCACTTTCTCTCTAGCATGTTTTTGAACAGCTCCCTTTGGACAAAGAGAGGAGAGGGCCAAATAATCATCACTATTAATATTAAATTGCATCGGCACATGAGTTATTATTGATACAGGTATTTTATGTTACAATGTCTCCATGTTTGCCAAAAACAGTCTGGAACATTTTGATTTCTTTTTGACCAGGGATAGAGTGACCATAAGATAAAATACTTGATTCACTTATTATTTTTTTCTTAACTTGATGACTGCCAATTTCACTCATTATGAGGACTCTCAAAACTAAACAAAATATCTGGGCTGAGTACATGCCACAGTAAAGCTGCTGAAAGCCTTGAAGATATGCAGGTATTTTGCAAAGTACACATGATAACAGGGTGTGTGTGTGTGTGTGTGTGTGTGTGTGTGTGTGTGTTTGTGTGTGTTTGTGTGTGAAAGCAGTTCCCTTATCTCAGTATTTCTTTTCATTCCCTATCTACATAATGAGTTCTCTATGACTGCAGCATAGGTACAGGCCATTGCTGGGACATTTTTTGCTGGGTCCATTTGAAAGGTAATTGATAAATGTTAATGACATTTGTCACTACTAAACGCTTAATTTTATTTGTAAAACTTATGAAGGTTTCTGTTTAGCTTTAAAAAGTTTCCCCTAAACTTATCTGTGGAATGTCAGCTTGCCATCAGAGTGCGAGGTGGACGTGAAGGGAGATTAGAGCCGGACACCACGGGCAGCACGTAGGAGAGGCAGAGCCCGAGCTGAGGAGGGCCGCTGTCTCCCGCAGGCCAGGCAGGAAGTGGGCACTGGAGAATCTGACAGGTCTCTGCCTCTGATTTTCTGTTGTGTGACCTTTTCATGTGCGAGCAAATTACTTAGCTCTCCATGAATATCTGTCCCACCCCTATGACATGGAAGAATAAAGGAAGCCCTAACCTCCCAGGGAGAGACTGGAGGTGCGCACAGTCCAGGAATGAAGCCTGGTGCCCCGCCTTCGCTGTAGCTGAACCGCAGGCGGGCTGATCGGAGAAGCAGCTTTCACGCCGGAGAGCCACTGAGGTTCAAAGTGAAGGGTAAAGCGGCTCTCAGTCTGACAGGTCAGATGACCCAGAAAGAGTTTTTACCTTAAGTACAGTGGGTACACAATGTTACATTAGTCATACTAGTTTTAGGTCTACAATATAGCGATTTGACATTTTTAATTCCAGTAATCATCTGTCTCCGTGTAGACTTATCACAATGTTACCTACTGCATTCCCTTCAGCAGGCATTATGCTCAGGGAAATAAGTCAGACAGAGAAAGACAAATATCAGATGGTTTCACTTATATGTAGAGTCTAAAAAAATCCCACAAATGAACAAACAAACAAAATTTAAAAACCCAGTTTCATAGAAAGAGAGCTTCTTTTTAAAACAGCAACTCCCAAGGTAATTTAATGGCATGAAGTCATTTAAAAGTATGAGGCTAAACTCCTTCTTTAGGCTGTGTGACTGAGGAATAAAATGTTCTGATTATTAGAACATTCTCATTGACCTAGCAATATAACATTCAGTAAGACCATCACCTTATTTGAAAACAGTAAAATACAAGTTAGCACTAACAGTGCATGGTATGTAACTCAAACTTTTAGGAAATTTATAAGGTGCTTTGGAGTCTTATAACCCACATAGCCTTTATAATCGAGAGTCTATACACGATTCTTATTTTCATGGGCTCTGGGAAAAGAATTTATTTGATAAATAGAATTCCATTTCCATCATGGCAATGTTTTAAGGGTATTTGTTCACATTTATGTGCCCTAAAATCCCATTTACTTTACCCGATTTTATTCTTTCTTCTTTCTTCTGCAGTCTAGTCACTATGGGTTGGCAGCTCCCCACCTCCCCCACCTTTTTTTCTTTTTCTTTTCTTTTTTAAACCACAGAATGAATTGCAATGTAGTTAAACAACCCTGACTTAATATTACTTCAGAAAAAAAAGATGGAAATTGCACAAATATTCTTTGTAGGCTCTAAAACTATGTTGGCTCAAATATGATACCTAATCTAATTATTCATTTAGATGCTTGTTTTATAAGTTTGCCTTCCACTTCATGATTTTTCAGCAGCTGGTACTATATCTTGATGTCATTCCCATGTTTTCTATAATGGATATTTTCACATCTACCAGCCTGTGAATTGAGTTTTCATTTTGAAATGGGAAGTGAAGGCAACATAGTTATTCCATAAGGAAATAGCTGATTTAGGAGAATAACCCATCTTTATTAAATTGAGACATTTTAGCCAAGAAAAATATGGGTCAAATTAAAAAAAAATGTTTTTCACAATTACCAGAAGGAATGGGTGGGGCAGCCTTCCTCGTTTACCATCCAGCTGCAAGAGTCAAGGATCCTGGCTCATTCTATTCCCAAGTGCATAATAGATGCAGAAAAAAGATGTGAAGGTCACAATCCTCAAATCAATTAAATGCATTGTGTTCTACAACGGATCCTGGCTGGAAGTGGGGAGGTGGAAGGGAACCAAAAGTGATAGATGATGAGAATCTGCCTGGGGATGTCCGTGATGCATGCATTTTATACAACCTTACAGTACTCCTACGAGTTAATAAGACAGAGTAAGTGGCTCCCCTCACTCACGCAGTGTACCACTACAGACTAGACTCAGTGATTCCTTCTCCTCGCTTTCCCCCCTCAGCGATATTTAATTATTTTTTCAGAGATTATGGGCATAATTAGGGAAAAATAACCAGGACATCAAAGAATAAAGGTATAATTATTTATGTATCAGGACTTTGTGATGTTTCTGAAGTGAACATGTTCAATATGGGATATAATAAAAGATCTTTTTTTTTTATCTTGTTTATAATGATGTTTTACCTAAACTATGGATCAGATAAGTTCATGCTACTGTACTGTTGTTTGGAAATGCTTTAGTCTTAATGCTAGCTAATTATAAATAAAAAATGTAGAAGCCTTTATGTATGTAAAAGGGTCTTTCCTTCTCATGTATATAATTATGCCATTTTCATTATTAATAAACTTCTCTTTCAAGAACCTCGCCTACATTTTTTTGTTAATTAGAAAAAACATTGTAGATTGTAGCAACAGTTGAGTTGTAATTACTACTCAAAGATACAATGTGAGCATGGTATAAAAATGAAAATCATTCTTTGATTAATCTTTTAAAAGTATATTTTATTTATTTGATTTTTTAAAAATAAAAAATTAAATTACAGTTGACATGCAATATTATATTAATTTCAAGTGTACAATGCAGTGATTAGATATGTTACTTACAAAGTGATCACCCCAACAAGTCTAGTACCCACCTGGTCTATACATAGTTATTACAATACTAGAGGCCCGGTGCACGAAATTTGTGCAATGGGGGGGGGGGGGTCCCTCAGTCTGGCCCGTGCCCTCTTGCAGTCTGGGATCCCTCAGGGGATGTCTGCCTGCCGGCTTAGGTGGACATCTGGGGAGCAGGCCTAAGCTGGCAGGCAGACATCCCCGAAGGGATCCTTAGCACTGCCTCAGAGGCAGGAGAGGCTCCCACCACTGCCACTGTGGTTGCTAGATGTGAGCCCAGCTTCTGGCTGAGCGACACTTCCCCTGTAGGAGTGCACTGACCACCAGGGGGCAGCTCCTATGTTGAGCATCTGCTCCCTGGTGGTCAGTGCGTGTCATAGTGACCTGTCATTCCGCTGTTCGGTCTATTTGCATATTAGACTTTTATTATATAGGATTATTGACTGTGCTCCCTATGCTGTACTTAACAAACCCATGACTGTTTTTATAACTGGTGATTCTTCTTAATCCCGTCACCTTTCTCACCTAACCCCTCCCATCTGGCTTTGTTTAATTTTTGTGTAGTGAGGATGTAGGGGAACTGGAGACAAATCTAGAACCCAATTATTGCCTTGAATTTTGTTGATATTTAATGATGCAGTCATCGTTTAGCCTCTCTTGAACTTTACTCTTTTAAACTCATAGAAACTTTCATTTTCCCGCTCATCTCCTTAAGGCAGGGGTGGAAAGAAAACTGATGGAGTTGATTAAAGGAACATTAGGGGGTAGTGAGAACCAGCAGCCCTGGAATGAGAGAAGGAAGTGGTGAGCTGTCTAATGAGAACAGAGGAGACCAATATGCTCAGAGCAACCTAAAGCAATCTTGCTGGGGAGGGCAAAAGGAAAATCAGCCGCCACTTACCTGAGCATCAACATCAGAAACTTCAGTTTTCACTTTTCTTCCTTCCTGCACTTGTGTGATGTCTTGCTGGCAACAGGGGTTGTGAAAATCCTAAATCAGTAAAGGGGAGGGTGGTCTTGATTTAACTCCAAAACTGTATTATAAAAACACAAAGTGGGAGAAATGTGTCTAATAAATACCTGTTGATTGATTAATTAGTGTCCTAGGTTTAGGAGAAACAGTGAGTAATAACACTGTTTTGAATAATTCTGGTGAGGACAAGCCCTACTCACTCTTAGCTCATGCCCTCCCCATGCTGGTCTACTGTCGAGCTGCTTCTGCATATGTCCCATCTCAGCTGGTCCTTGATGGGCTGTGTCCCATGAACTAATCTTTAAATTATTTTCTCACCAAAATACACATATTTTGTGTCCCATTTTTTAAAGTACAAATAAATCTGTGCTGCTATAGTAATAGTTGTTAAGAAATTACATTTTTCTAAGTAAGACCAATATGGTGTGTGGGCTTTCTGGAAATAACTTATTTTTTGAAATGAATAACTCTCATTGTTAATATTGCACATACCATGGCAGGTTTGGGGAAGAATATGCATATATTTGGCAGGAGGGTCTTTGAAGGAACCTCATAAAACCCACAAAAACTGCTTCTTTTATGGCTTTTTCTGTATCATGTACATGCTTCCATTCCATTATTCACCAAGGCTGTAATTTTTTATTTATGTCACTTACTTTCCACTAAACTGAGTTCCTTGATGTTGGGGGCCATGTCTTGCTCATCTTTATTCATGAAACTGTTACAGGACTCCAGGGCAGGAAGAAGAGGGAAACTGAGGCAGGGAAGTTGAAACAAGGGCAAACAGTGTGGGTAATTTGCAACCAGCTTGTAACTAGCAAACCATTATCTTCCCCAGCCAAGGACCAGAGAGAAAATGGTTAAAAAACATCCCTAAAGAGAGAATGCAGAAAGGCAGGGGGAAGGGGAGAGGAAAAAAGGGCAGTTTTACTCCCTAAGCAGAGAAGCCAGCAGTCGCAAGGCCTGGCAAGATAAAATTGCCAGGTGCTTCTCATGAATTCTGGGAAGGACACAACAAAGTGAAAAAAAGGGACCTTGAGAATTAATCTGCACCAAAATATTAAGCAGAGGAATTTTGAGACCTATAAACAGGTAGGTATATTAACACCTCAGAAACCACCCAACTTGCTCTTCAGACTAGCTCAGAGCCCATCTGTGCTTCATAAGCCAGATGTGTAGGTTTGCCTGCTTTGCTTTTTCAATAAAGGTGCATGCTTTAATTGCTTTTCACAACGCAATCCAGGTCTCTCATATAAATTCATTTATATGAGAAGACAAGGATCAAGGTTGGGGACAGCCCTCTATACTGTCTCAGGGGCTGTCCTATCTGGTAACACCTCTCTGGTGTTGGTGAGAGGTGCCTATAACAAAACTAAAGAATGCTTGATGCAGAATTTGTCTACAATTATTATTAACTAGAGGCCTGGTGCACGAATTTGTGCATGGGTGGGGTGCCTTGGCCTGGCCAGTGATCAGGGCCGATTTGGGCCATTTTGTGCAGTCCTGGTCAGGGCAGGGCTGGCCAGCTGGGGGTAGGGACCGCGGGAGGTTGGCTGGGTGGGAGGTTGGCTGTGGGAGTGCACTGAAAACGCAGGGGACAGCTCCTGCGTTGAGCGTCTGCCTCCTGGTGGTCAGTGCACATCATAGTGGTCACTTAGGCTTTTATATATATATAGATTCAATTGGTTTGAGATAATGGGACATATGTAGATATCCATTTTATGACTATCCAGCAAATGATTGTTTTGTATCCAGGAACAAATTAGGTGGACCTATTGAAACCAAAAATGTGGGTGATTTGAGTTCGAGTTCTTTGTCTTGTGAAAATGAAAGAATGAAGTCACAGACAAAAATGATTAATGAAATCGAAGTTTATTGGGAGAAGCCAGTCCTGGAAAAGGTGCAGCTGGGATTCAGGAGCAGCCCAGTGGCCAGAGCTTCCTTTCCCTGTTACAGTTGGGAGTAGTTTAGTATCCAAGAGAATTAAAGCCTAATAGTCCATGTGTGGAGGCCCAAGTGGCCATAAGTCACGTGGGCGAAGGGGGAGTGTTCCCCTGTCAGGTATCCACTG